TGAAGCAGGAGAATCGCTTGAACCTGTGAGGTGGAGGTTGCAGTCAGCTGAGATGTCACCACTGCACTCCAGCCTGGGTGATAGAGTAAAACTCTGCCTCAAAAAAAAAAAAAAAAAGAATAGAAACCAGATGTGGCCACAGGCCAGCAGATGCAAAGGGCCCATCTAAAGTCAAGTCAACACAGAAAAAAGCCCAGTCAAGACAGACACCAAGTTCTGATGACAGTGTTTGATCCCCTGCATCCAGCCATGCCTGAAGCAAAATCTTCTCCAGGACTTTTTAGTTACTTAAACCAGTAAGTTCCATTTTAAGCCTTTAAGCCAATTTAGCTTGGCTTGCAGTCACTTTCATCCCAAAGAATCTTGATTAAACATCTTTCAATAAAAACTTGCTTTACCACTAATAAAACAGTCAACTGCTAACTTCAAGTACACTGAACAATTATTTTTATGTCAAACTAATAGAGAAGAAATATACTGGAACAGGTGTAGGACCACAGGAATATCTAATGGGACTTTGACCCAGCCTCAGGTTTATGTTAGATTACTATTATTATTTGATTCCCCTCATTTAAAAAATTCATGCTCTCTCTATGCAGAATGACAAGGGAAGCAGATCTGTAGATTTCTATCGCGATACCCAAAAGCCTACTCCAAACGTTATATTACCCGTAAAAAGAAGAGACTATGTGAGAAAGAGTTTTAAAGAGAGTTAACGAAAATATCATGCAGCAGCTATTAAATGACTGATGTAATGTGAAGCTGTTGAGATATTTGTGTATTGAGTGCCTACTCTGTCATAGACTCTTACCGGTTTAACATAAGCCAAGGCAAAACTATGTTTAAAATTCCAATTGGATCATTTCACTTACACTCCACTCAGTACATTAATAGACTGTGTCTTCACTCCATATCCGGTCTCCTTTAAATTAGCAACAATTCCCAATACATCAATACTGGAACCTTTGGATCCAAAGTTTTTTTCACTGTACATTATCATGTGAGCATTTGAAAAATCCTATTGAGAAAAAAAATTAAAGATTCAAAGGCTAGCCATTTATTATCTAAAGAAGACCAAGTATTAGCCACTAGCTTTTCCTTAACTTACACCTAATATAGGTCGTAAAGACTGAAGCTCTCCATTGTAACCTCCCCAGTCTTTCCAGTCCCGGTATTCTCCTTCTTCTAGCAAATACTGATGACCTGTAAATCCAGACTTCTCATACGCAACCCAACTACAACACAAAGAACATGATGAGTAGTAATTTTCAGACACATTAAAATGTTTTCAAGGTACATATCCATTTCATTGAAAGATACAAATAATTATAAAGCTAGACGTGAACTTCCGCATTATCATTGGAATTCTCTGAAATTTAGAATAACAGAATGGCCGCAAGAAAATAACCTAAGGGACACATATCAGAGTTGTGTAAAGGAGGGAAGGGGAGTGTGTGTGTGAGTGGTGTGTATGTGTGTGTGTTTAATAAGGACTGACTCAAACCTCAGCAAGTAAAACTGGATAAACTCACTTCAAATAGGAACAAAAATATTGTGAATAGTTGGCAATTTACAGGAGCAATTTTAGTGTACACTTCTATGGGAATTGTGTAAGATCTATAAAATTCAAAAACATAAAAATTAGAAAGTGAACTATCAAACCACTCAATAGCTTGGAACAGAATTCTAATAAGCAAGGTTTTCGATTTAATCAATTTGAACAGGCCAATGTATCAGCCTTGCTTGGTGGACTGATTCCCACACTGTTCCCTCAAACTGCTTTTTTTTTTTTTTTTTTAATGAGACAAGAGTCTTGCTCTGTTGCCCAGGCTGGAGTGCAGCTCACTGCAACCTTCATCTCCCGGGTTCAAGCAATTCTCCTGCCTCAGCCTCCCGAGTAACTGGGATTACAGGCATGCACCACCACACCTAGCTAATTTTGTATTTTTAGTAGAGACAGTGTTTCTCCATGTTGGTCAGGCTGGTCTTGAACTCCCAACCTCAGGTGATCTGCCCATCCTGGCCTCCCAAAGGGCTGAGATTACAGGCATGAGCCACCGTGCCTGGCCTCAAACTGCTTTCTTAAATCCAGTAACTATAGGCCGAGGAGAACATGGACATGACTGTCAAAATTCACCATACTATAGAATCAGAAATGTTGTTTTTATGGGGGAAAGGACACATTTATTACTTAATATTTAGAAGAAAAAAAGAGAGAGAAATCCTAACAAGTCACCCATGTACTTACATGCCTCTTAGAACTTTCATAGACCCCACTGACGTAAACGGCAAATGATCGCCTCCAGTCGCCTCTTCTGTTTCACCTCCTTCCATGACAAAACTACCCATTTCTGTTTCTAGTTCCATACATTTTCCTTCAAAGAAAGGCTTTTCATAAATAACTACCTATAATAGGAATAAGATATACCAGTAATTTGTAAGAAGTATCCCAACAGTTTAACATTAAATGAGTCATTTAATGTCACTAAGTCCTGAAACATAAATTAAAATTTTCTGGCCAGGCATAGTGGCTCATGCCTATAATCCCAGCACTTTGGGAGGCTGAGGCAGGTGGATCAGTTGAGGTCAGGAGTTCGAGACCAGCCTGGCCAATATGGTGAAACTCCGTCTCTACTAAAAATACAAAAATTAGCTGAGCATGGTGATACACGCCTGTAATCTCAGCTACTCAGGAGGCTGAAGCAGGAGAACCACTTGAATCCAGGAGGTGGAGGGTTAAGTGAGCCGAGATCATGTCAATGCACTCCAGCCTGGGTGACAGAGTGAGACTCTGTCTCTAAAAAACAAAATAAAATGTTCTAATCATATTTTTAAAAATTAACTAGGCCAGGCACAGTGGCTGACACTTGTCATTCCAGCACTTTGGGAGGCCAAGGCGAGAGGATCACTTGAGCTTAGGAGTTTGAGACCAACCTGGGCAACATAGCGAAACCTTGTCTCTGATAAAAAGAAAAAAAGCTGGGTGTGGTGGTACGTCTATAATCCCAGCTATTCAGGAGCCGAGGCAAGAGGATGACTTGGGCCGGAGAAATCAAGGCTGCAGTCAGCCATGATGGCGCCACTGTACTCCAGCCTGGGTGACTGAGCAAGTCCTGGTCTCCAAAAAAAAAAACAATAACTAAATAATGGCATCTGATAAAACAGTAAAAAGAAAAATAAAAAGGGTTTTTTCTTTTCCTAATGTGGTATAGCTCAAAACCATGGTTCAAAAGAGTTTAAAAATAATTGGTTTTTGTGTATGTATATATACACACACATCTATATCATATACACACACACACACACACACACACACACACACACACACACACACATATATATCTGATACTTAGAACCACATAGAAGGAACCAGAGGATTCTAAAGTAGTGTTAAAAATGAAAAAATACATAGTGTGTGGCATCGATGTGGAAATTGGGAAGAGTAGAAAGGGTACTTTGGAGTAGGGAGAGCTTGTCTTGAAAGGTTTTTTCCTGGCTAATTGGCAAGCAGCAACAAGCCCTGCAATTAGTAAATACAACTGCAAATTGTTAGCTTAACGCAACAATGACACTGTCCAGCCATGGCTAAATGTACTCTTAGCGATAACTGATGCTATTAGCATTATCTTCCAGCCTGAAGGATGGCACGTGTAAGTTGGTAACTTCCCTGGGCTGCCTCTGTGTGTGATAGAGGTTTAATATGAGAAGTCACACAAGCGATATCTTCATAGAGATGGGGTGGAAATAACATTAGGTATATATATGTGTGTATATGTTTACATATTTAATATACATTTTTACCTTTGGATCTGTAGGGAATTCAACTTTACGGCCACCCTGCAAAGAGCAATAACATAATAAGAAAAATAGTTTTTTCCCCAAAACCTAAAATGCAATTTAAAAAAAATAGTTTTTCACTGATACGTTACCATTTCATATTAGCCATAGCAGTTTATAGTAAGCCACTGAATTTCAGTGTGACTACGTTCCAGTTTGTTGTAATTCACATGAGATAGTTCTAAAATTACCAACAACACAGATGAAGACACGAGGAAGGCGGGCTAGGGCGGAGCCTCACGCGGGCTGTCTATAAGCTCATCTGCACTGTAGAAGTATTTTTTGACCTAGTAAGTTTTTTTATTTTAAACTTTGAAAATTTCTCATAAAAATCCATACTTCTCTTGTAAAAACAGTTCTAAGAGCTGACATCTCTGGACCCAGGTTCTCCCAGGCAGCTAGCTGTCTTCACCTTCTGCACTTAACAATCCTGCACTGAATTCATCCTTCAGCTGGGCGCAGGCCCGGGTTTGCTGCCTCCACCATTCCCTTCACTTCAACTCTGAGCTATTTGTATTTGCTGCCTGGCCCCTGGAGGCATTTGATTTTGCAACCAGGGCTTACAAAACTATTATGTGTTGAAGTTCACATAATAAGCTCCGGAGGACTCATGGAATAATTAGATAAACTGTTAAATCAAATTTAAAACATCCCAAAGGATGAGTCTGTGGGGGGTTGTTATAAAATAAAAAGCTTTTTCAAAACAAAAGAACTCAATAAAATCAGAGAAATGATATTACATTAAAAAGATATTCCACAATATATTAAATAGGTCAAGAGTTTAAATCAGCAATAGGATAGTTGGATTTTTTTAATTAATACATCTTAATAGCTTTTTTAAAAAGTACTGCCAAAGACACTCAAAGGCACCAAATGAATGGTAATAATAAAAGAATGTGTTTATTTCCTTATCTTCTATGAAAAAAAAAAAAAAAAAAAAAAAAAAAAAAAAAAAAAAAAGGAATGTGGCTGATATTATCAGCAAACCAGAGATTATACAACCAAGCACATGACCTTTTCAAAAGTAATCCTGTTCGAAAACCATAGACTTTGGAGATTTTTCATCATCATTACAAACTGCTCTTAAAACCTGGATGAATTCTTTCATACATTCACAAAACTAGCAAAATTTGGTTCTTTGAAAGTGAGTTTAATTTTAGGGAAAAAAAAGGCCCAAATCATGTGCATTAAGACCAGCAAACATACAGATAATTAAACCAAATACTTTGGCAGGAGGGGTAAAATTAAGATTTAAAAAAATCAAGGAAAATGTGGCACATATACACTATGGAATATTATGCAGCCATAAAAAACGATGAGTTCGTGTCCTTTGTAGGGACATGGATGAACCTGGAAACCATCATTCTCAGCAAACTGACACAAGAACAAAAAATGAAACACCACATGTTCTCACTTATAGGCGGGTGATGAACAATGAGAACACATGGACACAGTGAGGGGAGCATCACACACTGGGGTCTGTTAGTGGGGGGCAAGGGAGGGAAAGCAGGGGGTGAGGAGGTAAGGGAGGGATAACATGGGGAGAAATGCCAGGTGTAGGTGACGAGAGGATGGAGGAGCATACCACGTTGCCATGTGTGTACCTATGCAACAATCCTGCATGATCTGTACATGTACACAGAACCTAAAGTACAATAAAAAACAAAAATACTGTCTTCTTTTCTAATTTGTCTCAAACTGGCTGAGAAGACAACTGCAAAATGCAGTTTCAAAAACATGTTTGTAACGGGAGCCTCACTCTCACTGCGGGTATTTAGGGAACACACACTGCACCCAACACCGGGGACAAGACAGATGTGGCCTGCTTCCTCCCAAAGCTCTCAGTCTAGCAGAAGAGACAAAGAACAAAGCAAGACTTGGGGACAAGGCGGAGGAAGCAAAGGCTCCTTCCACAGCAGATACTTGGGAGGACAACACTCATTTGGTCTAGTCCCAGCAACTCCCAAGCTGCCACGCAGCACAGCCTCATCTCACGGCAGCTGAGCCAGCTCTCAGCGTGCCCTGCTCTCTCTCAGGCTGCACCCTGGCTCGTGCAGTGCATTCACCAACAGCTCCATCTAAAAATCATCCTGCTAATTTTTTAAGGTCAAACTTAACTTAGGATGATGCATTCCTAATTATCCCCCCTCTCTGTCACTTCACCCACAATTTGAAATTGTATGTATCCTTTGTCCTGTTTTTCCACCAATGTTTAATTCTTCACTTTCCTGACTTGTTAAACCTACACTGGGCTGAAGCTTTGTGCAACCATCTGCAGCTCTGCAAGGCTGAGAATGCCTTAAAGGCAAAGGGCATAATCTTACCTGCTTTTTTTTTTTTTTCCAGTCTGTAGCATCTAGCAAGTTACTGTTTCTATTATTTCTATTGAGCAATAGGTCCAACCTACTACAAATTTGTTCCTTAAAAGTCAGCTTTATTGCTTCAAAGTCATACCCTGTGAATTACCCATGTCAAGCTGACAAAGAATCACTGCAAGAACACTTGGATTTCATTTTTACCATTTTCAGAGGCCGCATGGATCCAATGTACGCTGCTTCTGTATCCCAGAAGGACACGTCAGGGTATTCACCAGGTTCCAGGATGAAAGGAACACCCTGAAATCCAGGTTCTTCATAAATCAGCCACCTAAAGAGCCACCATGGAAGGAAAGAAAGGGAGCCAGCTCATCATTTCAGTTTTTCCTTCTGTCTGGTACCCAGGATGAGAGGAGAAGAACAGGAGAGCATACGGACCCACACAGTGAACGGTTGCACTTAGGTGTTAGAATCATACTAGACTCAAGGAAAAATAAAGCCATTATATGCTCCTCTTCTTAATCTTTTACTCTTCTCCTTGGCTGGCTTTGTCCCCTTATTTTATCTTAATTGCTCCTAAGTTCCGCCTAATCATTTGTCATGGTGCCAAACATTAGTAACCGCTAACATCTCCCTAGAGCTTACAAGGAATGCCACCCAGAACATCATCTAATCCTCACAGCAATGCTATGAAGAAGGGATACCATTGTCCTCATTTTATAGAGAAAGTTATGTAAGTTGCCTAGAGCCACACAGAGCTGTAAGTAGGAAAGGTTGGAATGATTCAAGCCGACTCCAGAACCAGGTTCCTAATCAATTTTTTTTTTTTTTTTTTGAGATGGAGTCTTGCTCTGTCACCCAGGCTGGAGTGCTATGGCTTGCTCTCAGCTCACTGCAACCTCTGCCTCCTGATTCAAGTGATTCTCCTGCCTCAGCCTCCCAAGTAGCTGGGAGTACAGGCACACACCACGGCGCCTAATTTTTGCATTTTTTTTTTTTTAGTAGTGTCGGTGGGGTGGGGGGTCTCACCATGCTGGTCAGGCTGGTCTCGAACTCCTGGCCTCAGGTGAGCCACCTGCCTTGGCCTCCCAAAGTGCTGGGATTATAGGCGTGAACCATCGTGCCCAGTCCTAATCATTTTTTTAATGGCAGTTTTTCTCATTACAGGGAGTGTACTGAACACAGTTTACTCTTTTCACAGTTACTCAGGATCATCACTGTGAGCATTAGGTAACGCACAGTGGTGTCCTCAGGGGCTCTGAAGGTCTGTGGGGCTGCTTGTTCCCAGGCTGCAAAGCTTTTTGAGTTCTTGTTTCTGATTTTTATGGCTTTTCAATACCACACCCTTCTATCAGCTTCTCAGCTGTTGCTTCTACTTTCAGTTGGGAAACCAGCAGCCCCGCCCTCCTCTAACGTGCCAGAAATCAGGAAACCAGAAAACCATGCCTGTTAGCACTGTCTCTAAAGTATACGAGGTCTTTCTGTAAACATCTTGGTTCCTGGGAGGGTTCCGAGAAGGTGAGAATGATGAAGAAGTGACTTTTCTGTAAGACAGGGGTTAATGTACCCGCTTTATAAACAAACAGAATTCTTAGGGATCACTTACACTCGCCAATTGGGTTAATTTCGCTAACATGTTCCAGCCGTGGTACTCCACCATGTTGTGTTCTCCAGAACACCATGCCAAGAAGAGGGTGGCTCTAAATGAAATCTTTTACCCACAAAATAGGTCTGATACCTCCCTCTTTGCTTTTTTCTTCTTCCCAAACTTGGCCCAAGGCAAATTTTTGATGATGGTTGTTGCTCAAGATTCCCTGGGATACATCAGTAACTTCTCTAATTATACAGAGATTTACAACCAGACTCCTGCTGATGATTTGACAACACACACATGAAAGAATGTCGGGAGGCCAGGTGTGGCACATGGGTAAGAGGTCGGAACTGCAGTGTTAGAAGTCAGGATGATGGTTACTGGGGAAAAGGGCGTGAGGATGACTAGGAGGGCCCAAGAATCAAGGGGGTTTTTGCGATGCTGGGAATGTTCTTTTTCTTGATCTGAGTGATGATTACGCCTGCATATTCACTTTGTGAAAATTCACTTAGCTTATATATTTAGGGTTTATGTACCTTTTTGTACAAATGTTATACTTCAAAAAAAGTTACTTAAGGAAAAAAAAAGAGGCTTATCTTTTAAATACCACTGTAATGCTTCTAAACCACAGGAAAACAGAGGCTAAGAATAGGGTACTTTAAACTTCCTTATGTTTAAACCATGACAGCCAAGGATTCATTACAAGTATTTTGGAGCTCAAAGCTCTCACAGGCACACTACCAATGGACTTTGTTCCCTAGTGAGATAACGGCAGTCCTGTAACACATTATGGTATATTAGGCTAACAAGCCAAGCAGGCCCCAAAGTCTGACTTCTTCACAAATGAACAGGCTTAATTCTTCATAAACTGAATGTATGGCTCATGAGCAAGTGATCTGAGATTTTGAAATGATCCTGACCGAAGTACCCTTTTCATTAAGTCTTTCCTTCTACAGCTTGAGTTCAAAGGGGATTCATTCATCTGATACTAAACATTTCACTTTTGTTGAAGCATGTGGTTTAGTTGCATAACATTTATGGAAGGAAAGTCATTCTGGGGAGAGGGGAATTTGTCAAAAAACTAAACACATAAATGAATGCATTTGAAAAGACTGCTGCTCTGAAAGTTCTTCCTTAGTAAATGAGTGCTGAAGGCCTGCTGGGTAATTCAAACAGACATTTATAAATGGTGGGTGGACTTTGGAATTTGAAAACTCATATACAGGGTATGATTCATTTTTTTCTAAATTCTGTTCCAACAAGATATATTATTTACAAGGCCATCAGGAGAGGGGGAAACTATCTCCAGGCAATGTTATTTCAGTTTCTAAAGGTAATCTTTTATTTTCCCATGCACTTAGGTAATGAGCTTTTGCCAATATAGATTAAAAAGTACAACTTTATAGTAGTACTTAACAAACAGTATGACTATGAAATCCAAGCTTATTTTGTAAACAAATGTATAACTACAAATGAATGTTGTTAAAGTAAATGGCCATCTATATGTTTATTAAAATATTTGTGTAATTACTCTTTTAGAAACACCCTTTGAGTGGCACAAGAAAAATCAGTCTTATCTTGTTCACTTGTTCTTAAACCAAAAACAGCACTTCCAGATGGATCTGAAGTTTTATTCCCTAGACATGGCTGTACATGAATATTGGCCATTTACAGAAACCAACTGGATACTCAAAAAATTAAATATGAGTGTACCTTCTTTGAGGTTATTCACGACAGAGGGGGTTGTGAATGTCAAAGGGGAAAATGTACCTTCACAATGGAAAGATGGAGGAGGTGCCACTTTAACCAAACAGTCAAACTTGGTATTGTTAACGGGCAAGTTAGCACATGCCCCCTGATGTGATGCAACATAAATATATGGCACTACCTGTATGAAGCATCCTCGCCAAAACTGTTTGGCCTGAACCTAACCATACCTCGAGACTTAAGCCCTAGTAGATAGGAAGTAGGACAAGCTAAATCATGGCATGAGGGAACACTCAGACAAATCTAGAATGTGGCACATTCTCTAAGACAGCTGGCCTAAATCTGTTTAAAAGTGAGCGGCATGGGAAACAAAGAGGGGGCATTTTAGAGATTTTTAAAAAGAGACTTAAAGAGACAGAACAATCAAATGCATTTCTATGAACCTTGATTGGATCCTGATTTGAACATGCAAATCTATAAAAGACATTCCTGAAGCAATTGGGAAAATTTGGTGACGGGCTCAAGAACAGATATTAACATGGATACCTTGTACATTTTCTCAGGTGTAATCATGATAGTTATGCAGGAGAATGTCATTATAAAGAGATTCAGGCTGAATCCTATATGGAATGAAGGGTCGTGGTATCTGCAATGTACATTCAAGGGCTCGGAAAAAAGATTATAACAAATATGGCAAAATGTTAACAATTATTGGGTCAAAGTCAATGGTACATTTGTGTTCACTGAACTATTCTTCCTACTTTTCTGCATGTTTGAAAACCTTCATAATAAAATATTGGGTTCTGATATGGTATATTCTACAATGAAATATACAGTGAATATTATACAGCAGTGAAAAAAAATACAGATGCACCCGTCAATACGAGTAATCTTAGGAGAGTGGTTACGCGTGTCACCAGGGTGGGCTACACCAGGTTCTGCAGCAATGTTGGTAATGGTCTAGGTTGTAAGTTGGGTGGTAGGTCCACAGGGGATTGTTTTATTATCAGGCTTCACAGTTCACACATATTCATATATTCTTCTGTATCTGTCAAATATTTCACAGTAAAAATAATCATATAATGTCTGTCCGTTAAAAAAGAAGTCCCTTGACTTTAGAACACCTGCATTCTAGTACACGTTCTGCTAACAACTAACCCTAGTCCGGAGAAAGTGACCAAAGCTTGTCTTCCTCAGTCAAATGATGGTGTTGGGCCGAAGTTCTAAAATTTCTCGCTTTTGTTATAAATATACCACCCCCGACTTCCACTTCCACCCCCATACACATCTCACACCCTAAAAAACCAATATGCTTTCACCTCTAGGAGGATGGGTGCTAGGATTAGCCAGCTGCTTGAAAGAAAGGTTTAAAAACAAATGACTCTCAATAGAATCTGAAAGGCAAGTTTAGTTAGAAATTGCTCATTTCCTCAAATAAGAATTTGACAAGACAAGTAACACGCTTATTTTGTGTATGAGTAGAAGAGCTTAATCTAGAGTGAACGGGCCCTAGAATCAATCACCTAATGGATTCTTGAGAAGTTCCCTCCCATGGCAAAGACTTCTTATCCCAGTTCAGGGGAACTGGAGCACCAACAGAAGCAAAATGAGCTTAAGTACTTACTATCAGTTAAATCTTCTCAATCCCTTGAGACTTTCCTTGGAGATCTGTAAAAGCACCAATGAACTGGTGCCTAAGCTCTCCAAGCAAGTTCAAAGAGCCCAACTTTGAAGTAACATCCGAGGCAGTGTTCCACTATCCTAATGACAACGGAAATGAACAGCCAGAAAAAAAGATGCCTATCATGACGCAAAGCTGTCATAAACTGTACGCTGTGACAGGCTAGTAACTACCACTTAGGAGGCAAAGCTAAACTTACTGCAAAGGTAAGAAACATCATTTAAGGTAACTTAATGTGCTTCAACATAGCCCAAGCCTGAGTCATGGCACCCTCCAGACACTGAGATTAAAATATGATAGCAGATGCCTTTTTTCATTATTTTCTAAGGAAAGTTACATTTCTCAACCTTTCCACCAATACTTAAAAAAAAAGCATATAAATGTCTTTCATGTGAAAAAATTCACAGTAGCAAGAGATGAAAGCATTCTCTTTTGCTTAGATTCCTACTTTTCTTCCCAGCCTCTTAATACAAAAGTGCCTTCTCTTCCCTTAACTACATCTACTCCCTTTTGGGACCTTGTCCTGCGCCTGCTTTAAATATACTCTCTATGCCAGTGACTCCTAAGTTTATGCTTCCAGCCTCTCCCCTGAACTCCAGCCTCACATACCCAGTCACCTTCCTGCCCACTTACTTGAATTTGCAGTTGGCATCCCAGCCTTAAACTGTCCAAAACTGTGCTCCTGAATCTCACTCTCTCCCAACCTGCCCCTCAAAGTCTTCTTCATCTCAACAAATGTTGGGGCTGTAAACCTCGGGCATTTCTTGGCTCCTCACACAATCTGTCAGCAAATGCTGTCGGTTCTACCATCAAAATGCATCCAAGATCTACTTCCTGCCACCACCATCGCACACCTAAGCCACCATCACCTCTTGACTGTGTGACTGCAAATGTGTCCTGCGTGGTTTCTTGGCTTCCACCTTTGCCTCTTTAGAGACTATTTTCTATACAAACAGGTTGATCCTTCTATTAATAACGCAAATTAGATCAAAATTCTCCAGTGATTTTCCACGTCACTTAGATTAAATCTAAATTCTCCTCCCTGAAAGACCATATGTGACCTGAGCCCTCTCCTATCCCCATTCTCCAAGTTCAGCTCCAGCCGCTGTGGCCTCTTAGCTATTGCCCAAGCATGCCCAGAAACCTTTTGCAAATGGTATGCTTCCTCTCTGGGACAGGCTCCCTGCCCCTCCTTCCTCAGCTAGCTTCAGGGCAGACTCCCTTATTTCCTGCAACTCCCTGCTTAAAATGTCACCAGAGTCCTTTACTCGCCACCCTGTCTAAAATAGCAACATGCCTGCCCCTCTCTGTAATTTATGTTTCTTGTAGCCTTTGCCATCTGACACATTAATATTTGTATTTGTGTTGTTTATTCCTACTAGAGTGACAGCTTTAGGAGAGTGGGGACATTATTTTATGTCTTCACTGCTGTAACAGTGACTAGAAAGCATCTAACACATAGTAGATGCTTGATTAGCAGATTTACTGAATATATTTAATACATCTCATTTATATTTGTTAAAATCCCAATTTCTTGTCATATGTAGACAGGGTGTGCAGAGGAAAAAAATGCCTTTCCTAATTTCTACTTCTAAATTAATCACCTTTAGAAATTTCATAGCCTTTCAAGGACTACAGGGTACCAATTGATATAACTCAAAATGTGCACTAAAGGCAGGACATTTCTCTAAAGAAGATATACAAATGGCCAGGAGGTATATGAAAAATGTTCAGCATCACTCAAGATCAGGGAAATGCAAATCAAAACCACAGTGAGATACCACCTCACTCCAGTTAGAAAGGCTACTATCAAAAAGACACAATATAACAAGTATTGGTGAGGATGTGGAACACAGGGAGCTCTTTCACATGATTGGTGGGAATATAAATTAACACAGCCATTATGGAAACCAGTATGGAGGCTCCCCAAAAAATTAAAAATAGAACTACTGTATGATCTTGCATTCTCACTACTGAGTATACATCCAAAGGAAATGAAATCAGGTACATCAAAGGACACCCACACTTTCATGTTTATTGCAGCACTATTCATAATAGCCAAGATAGGGAATCAACCTAAGTGTCCATCAACAGATGAACAGATCAAGAAAATGTGGCAAAAATATACAATAGAATAAGTTCCGGTGTTCTACTGCACGGTAGGGTAACTATGGTTAACAATAACATATTTTATATTTCAAAATAGCAGAAGAGAGGATTCTGAAGAGTCTCACCACAAAGAAATTATACGTGTTTGAGGTGACGGATTTGCCAGTTTCCCTGACTTGATCATTATGCAACGTATGCATGTATCAAAACATCACATTGTACCCCCAAAATATCTACAATTATTATTTGTCAATTAAAAACAATTTAAAAAGCAGTAAAATGTATACTATCCTTGGAAAATAACTTTATACATCAAGAGGAGATATTTAAATTAACATTTTTCTCTACACCCCAAATTCTGCCCTAATAACTACACCTTTGTATATTGACGAACCATCGCTACAGTCATTCCTTGCTATTATCCCACTCTTCTGGGGAGAGGAGGGTTGTTTTCTGAGAGGGGCCGGCATAGGGAAAGAACACCCTCGGGCTTCTGGGGTGCTGGTAAGGTTCTAGTTCTTGGCTCAAGTGGTGTCTACTTGGGTGCTCACTTTATCTAACTGTACATTTACCTTCTGCAAACTTTTTTCCAGGTGTGTTATATTTCCAACTGTTAAAGGTAAATTAAATAAATAAACTGTCATAAAGTAAGTATCTAACTCATACTTTCCTTCCCCTGCAAAACCCTGGATAAATTCTTGTTCATCCTCTACTTGAATACTCCTGGTGATGAGAAACTCTCTACCTGACAAGGCAGCCCACTTCCATTTTAATTGTTATTAACCATCAGAAAGTTCATCCCCGGGTCAAGTCAAAATCCATCTCTCTAACTTCTACTGGTTTTTCCCGGGACCTCCTACAGAATAACAGAGAGCAAGTCTAAGATCTCTTCTAGATGACCACTTTCCAACTATTAAAGGATGGCTGCTACCAAATCTCAACAGCCACACTTCCTGTTAAGTTGCCTAGAAGTTTTTAGTTTCTGATTTCTGAGGATCAAAAATCAGATTCTGTGATCTGAGTAACTTATCCCATTCCTGCAATTTACACAATCAAATCATTTTTCTGAGATGTGAACAATGGCAAACCAAGACTTTTAGTAATAAATAGAACACCAAAAACATGATTAAGGTGTGCCTTATTATACTCTGAGATATCCCATACCACTTTAGGGACAGACTGTAAACTTTTTTGACTGTGTAAACCATTAGCAAAGACATTTGAGCATTCTCTGAGTATATGAATATTTATAAATTATAACATAATACATCATGCCTATTAGAAAACATACACAGAAATAAAATCGTAAGAGGTGGAGACTTCAATCAAACAGGAAGAAGCTTTAGTACTTTTTCCTGCATCTCAGTGGATGTCTTTCACATGCCTTGGGGCTGTGTGTGTCACTTTGGAGACCACATTCTTTAGTATTGCAGTCTGTACTTTCTACCCTAATTTTCTCCCCTATCTGAGTCCCATTTCCTTCAAAATATTCTTGCTGTTTCCTGTGATTTGTGAAACAAACATCCTAGGGGCTTTGAACAGCATTGTGTGAAAATATTCAGGAAGTACCATGTGTGTTGGCTTCCATCCCCCCAGAAATATCAGGGGCATGTGCTTTGAATGAGCTCTTCTGAATTACCATGAAAATATAATCTACTACTCAGCTTTGAATGAATCAGATTCCACTGTGACAAGGAAAGCCATACATTAAAAATTCAATTCCCCCCCACATTTCCTACAGTAAATTGATATTGTTTATAAGAGAGGTGAATCATAATAACATAGGTGCAAAAGAATCAGAATTTTATGTGCCTTATAAAAATACACCTTACAGTTAATAATTACTTAACGGGAGCACAAATCAGAGACAAAGTATCTTAAGTCCTCTTTTTCCAGTATTACACTCACAAAAAAACTTCATTAAAATTGTATTTGAAAAAAAAAAATACTTACGTGCCCCAATGTACTTTCATGGAACAAGTCTTCTGCATTACACCAAATCCCTGCATTTCTTCAGTATCATCGAAGTAGGAACTTAGGATTCCTAACCCTTCTGGTTCGGTAAATAAGTCAATGTGACTAACTCTGTAATCCTGAAAAAATATATATGCACAGATAGTAAGAATTGCACCATGTATTTAACTCTCTAGTAAGCTCATTCTTCTTCTTACAACTAATCAAAATGAGCTTTAAATATACAAATACCCTTCACAGAGCACCTGCCATTTTAGCCCTTTCCTGTTTTCATCCATGAATTAATAATATGCCTATTTCAGGGCAGACACACTTGCTTTAGTGATATAACTCAGTGTTGCATTCAAGCAAAGATCATCAGAAATGTATTTTATTTGAGTTTTGGCATGTCTTTCTTTTTCTCATTCTCACTTGGCCCTCCTTGGTCTCTGGGGTTTTGGTTTCTTGGCTGTGATGTAATTATCCTAGCACTGAGACTCTAGTCTGTGGAAAGGCGGCCTTTGGAGTCTTCCTCAACCACTGTTTTGTGTCCATAAGCCCTCTGTTTCTTTGTGGTAACTCTCCTTGACTGAGTAAACCTCAATGATATTGGTTTGATCTAAGTCGTGAAAGCAAAAGCACACACTCATAGTGATTTACAAATCTCTGTACTTTGATCATTGTTCCATGCCTCGCATATGTATGGTCCAAACAGTCTTCAAAAGGCCTCTTCTGGCCAGGTGCCTAAGCATTAATGGATTTTATTGAAGCTTATCTATGCAGCTGAGTTGGGTGAACTGACTGAGCTACAGAAGAAATATTAACACTTGAGTAAGTTTAGGTGAGGCTTTTCAAACATTATCAAAAGGAACAATTCTAATGAACTAAAAAGGTGACCCTCTAAAATATATGCTGTGACTTATGTTTCATGTTTCAAGAAACCACACACACGATCTGTAAAGAAAATATAATCCATGACATAGGAGCCATACCATAATCTTTAACATGATACCACTCAGAAAAATTTACCCCAAGGAAACAAATTAGAAAATTATAAAACATTAGCCAGGCACAGTGGCTCATGCCTGTAATCCCTGCACTTTGGGAGGCCAAGGCAGGCAGATCACCTGAGGTCAGGAGTTCGAGATCAGCCTGGTCAACATGGCAAAACCCCGTCTCTACTAAAAATACAAAAATTAGCCAGGCGTTGCGGCATGTGCCTATAATCCCAGCTACTCCGGAGGCTGAGGCAGGAGGATCACTTGGACTCCTGGGAGGTGGAGGTTGCAGTGAGTCAAGATTGTACCACTACA